GTTGGAGCGGGATCCGGAACCCACCACTGGGAGCGCCTTCCCTCTGGAATGAGCTGCCCCCGAAGCTCCGTATAATCCACGACCTCTGGTCCTTCCGACGCGCCCTAAAAAGTTGGCTTTTCCAGCAAGCCAGCCTGGCCTAAATAGAATAAAATATGGGATTAATTTGATTGTTAATTTTAATTTAATTTTTAAATTTTTATTGTAAATATCAATTGGGTTTTTTTGGGTACTTTATTTAATGTCCCTTTTAATTTTTGTAATGTGTGCTTTCTTTTATGTTGTACGCCGCCCTGAGTCCTTTGGGAGAAGGGCATCATATATAAATCCAATAAACCTAACCTAACCCAGCCAGGCACTGACTCTTCCTTGGGAAGATTCCTGCATTTGGGCTTAAATCAATTTGACCTTCACTTGTGCACCTGACTTTTCATTCTCCCATATGGGAATTATCTGAGGGACTCAGCTGCTCAATCTTTTTCAGCCCATTTTATCTACCTGTAGGTCCTCAACTTACCACAGTCCATTTAGTGACTGTTTGGAGTTAAAGCATCACTGGAAAAAACTGACTTATGAACATATTTCAAACATACTCACTGCAGCATCCCCAAGGTTATGCGATCAGAATTCAGATGCTTGGCAACTGGCTCGTATTTATGACAGTTGCAGTGTTCTAGAGTTATGTGGTCACCTTTTGCAACCTTCTGACAAGCAAAGTCGATGGGCAAGCCAGATTCATTTAACAACCATGTTACTAACTTAACAGTTGCAGTGATTCACTTAACAATTTTTGTCAAGAAAGCTCATCAAATGGGGTAAAATTCACTTAACAACTGTCTGGCTCAGCAACAGAAATGTTGGACTCAGTTGTGGTCGTAAGTCGAGGACTAGCTCAATATAAGAAGGGTTGAGCCTTGAGCTTTTGCTGACATGCTGGGGTCTATATAAAGCTAATAAACGAGGATTACGATGATATCCACAATGGAGTGGTCATGAGGATTGCCTATTGTGACTACAGAACCAAATTATTTTGAAATGAGTTAGTTGAAAAGGAATACCAGTGGTCCTCAACTTACAACCATTTGTTTAGCAGCCACTTGAACTTACAATGGTGTGAAAAATGTGACTTATGACCAGGCCTTGAATGAACCGGTAGCAGAAATTTTGAGTAGTTTAGAGAATCGGTAAATACCACCTCTGGCTGGCCACACCCATCTATTCTCTGCCTCCCGAGTCCCAGCGGAGGGAATGGGGATTTTGCAGTAACCTTCCCCTGCCATGCCCACCAAGCCACGCCCACAGAACTGGCAGTAAAAAAATTTGAATCCCACCACTGCAACTTCCTCGTAAACATGTGATCAAAATTCAGATATTTGCCAGCTGACATGTATTTACAGCATCCTGGAGTCATGCGACCACCATTTACAGCCTTCCCACCTTGCTTCTGACAAGCCAAATCAATGGGAATAAGACAGATTTGCTCAACAACCACACAATTCACTTAACTAAAGTGATTTGCTTAACAACCATGGCAAAAAAAGATCATAAAATCAGGCATAAATCACTGAACCATCTCTTACCTTAGCAACAGAAATTATTTTCCCAATTATGATCATAAGTTGAATGCTATCTGTACGGGAACCAAACAGAACCCCCGTAGTTAAAGGAGATTGTTTCAGGGGCTGAATTCAATCCCAAGGGGAATTTTCAGGCAGTCCTCATTTTATGACCAGAATTGAGCCCAACGTTTCTGTTACTAAGTGAGACATTGGTTAAGTGAATTTTGGCCCATTTTATGACTCTTCTTGCTACAGTTGCTAATTGAATCATGCAGTTCTCAAGTTAGTAACACGGTTGTTAAGTGAATCTGGCTTCCCCATTGACCTTGTTTGTCAGGAGGCCACAAATGGGGACCACGTGACCCTGGGCCACTGAAACCATCACAAATATGAGTCACTTGCCAAATTTTGATCACGTGACCATGGGGATGGTGCAACGGCTAAAACTGTGAAAAACAATCATAATTCACTTTTTCCCAGTGCCCTTGTAACCTTGAATGGTCACTAAACAAACTGTTGTAAAACGAGGACTACCTATTTTAGCTAAGATTTTGCAGAGGTCAAAATCTTTCCTAACGCATCCATGGATATGTCCTGTGATTTGGCAATGGCCTTTGAGAAAATAACACATCTGGTTTTGGTTTAAAGTGTTATGTATTCTTCAAATTACTTTTGCCATTTGAGTCCAAATCATTGCAGAGCAGGGGGTTGGGCTAGGTGACCTCCAAGGTCCCTCCCAACTCCGTTACTGTTACTTAGAACCACCACTTTTTCCATGCTTAAAAAACGGTGGTGCCTTCCGTAAAACATTCGATCCGGGGATGCCGAGGGACATCTGACCCAAAGGAAAAATCTGCTCTATCGTTTTGGTTTTGTAGAATACCGACTCAACCAGTTGTTCAGAAGGCAGCACCGTGGATCTGATGGACCCAGATGAGTTCCTGAAGAACAACTCGGAGCTCGATGATGATTTCAAGCAACCAGACAACTGTTTCCCAGAAAGTAAGGATCCCCCTTGATTTATATCATTTAACAACCGTAAGGATGCCACCGGTGGGGACACCTGTGGGCCTGTGGGTCAGAATCTACAAGAGAGTGAGCATGACATTTGTAATTGAATCCCCACTTCTCAGGTATGTTCAAATGTACAGGTAGTCCTCAACTTATGACTGGACGCCTAGCAACCACTTGAACTTAAAACAAACCTCCTAAAGGTGCTTTTGGCCCAGTTCCAGGGGTGGGCTTCAAAAACTTCAGCAACGGGTTCTCTGCCCGATTGCTGGATGGGTGTGGCCATGGTGGGCGTGGCCTAGTTGGCCTCCTGCACCACAGCAGGGAGGGGGGGGGGTTCACTTTCCTCAGGCTCCAGAGGCTTTCCTCGAGCTTCTGGGAGGGGGAAACTGCTTCCTCCAGGCTCCCAAGGCCCCCTGGAGGCCTTCTGGAATGGGCTGTGTGGAGACTGCTGGGTGGGGTGGGGTGGGGTGGGG